CCACACAAAATCTCTTGTCCTTGGCAGAGTAAGCGAATTGTGGGCCAGATTATCCCAGCCATTGCCACCACTACAGCAGCCGTGGCAGGCCTGTTGGGCCTGGAGCTGTATAAGGTGGTGGGTGGGCCACGGCCTCGTAGTGCCTTTCGCCACAGCTACCTACATCTGGCTGAAAACTACCTCATCCGCTATATGCCTTTTGCCCCAGCCATCCAGACGGTGAGCCCATGATACCCCACCCTTAGCCCCACTAGGCCTAGGTTTCCCCTGCACCTGCCCACACAGGCCCCAATCTAGCTGCCAGCTCTCACTGAGATTCAGACTGTGCAGGAGTCCTGAAGACTCCCTCCAGCCTTCTTCCTGCTGTGAAGCCAGGCTGGGACCCGTCAGACACAGGAAGCAACCATCAGCCATCCTCACCCCCAACCCTCCAAAGCCCAGGATCTGGGGGAGCTTCAGCTTTAACTCATTAGTGGAGCCAGACATCCCCTACAGTCCCCTCCTTCCTTGGAGTACCCCTGAGGGGTAGGTGGTGGGGAGGGGACCAGGGCCTCAGCCCCAGAAAGAGTCTAGCTTCCCCCTGCATGATACGGGGGCCCTGGCCTACCTCCTGCAAGCTGAGTTAAAGGATAATAAGCTTGCCACTAGAGGTGTGGCGTCTGCAGCCCTGAGTGTGTTTGTGTCACAGGTGTGAGTGCAACCGGGGTCTGGGTATCCCTGGAGTGTGGGTATGGAAGGAGCAAGTTTGCACATCTGTGTGTCAGATGGGAGTGCAGGGCTTCCATCTTCCTGTGTCCTCAATGTGGGTCTGCATGGAGATACATGTGGGCACACATGTGTGTGTTCCTGGGCTTGTGGGGATTTGTGTTCTTGTGACTGCAGGGCTGTGAATGCCTCCAGCCATGTGCTCAGGCTCTGCAGTGGGCATTTCCTTGGGGCAAGGATGGGGGTAGAAGGAATGCCCTCACGAGGGGAGAGAGCAGAGGTCATGGGCCAGCACTGGGCTTCTGCTGAGCAGCCTGGGGTCCCTCTGGACATAGTACACAGAGCCCCTTTGTTAAGGCACCCTGCCTCTAACCAGCACACAGGCTGCCTTTGTCCACGGAGTGGAGCAGGGCAAGGAGAAGCCCCCATCTCACCTCTAACCTAGTCTCAGCTTGACCCCAGTGTTTTCTTGGGTGCTGATAGGTACCCCCTGTCCTTGTCTCTAGATACCTGCTAGCTTCCCTTCTGTCCTTAGCTCTAGGTACCAGAACCCCAAGACTCTTGGAAGGAAAGAGGGGACAGGAGGAGGAAGCCTGTATGCGTTGTATCCCTGCTGGGGTCTCTGGGACAGTGGGGCCCTGGTGGTCACTGTGGCCTTTGCCCGTGTCCCAATGAGTAGCCCAAGGCACTGGCAATACATATAAGATTGGGGGACAGGATGTGCCCCTCAGCTCCCAGCCTTGTCTCTGAGGAACAAGCAGCTTTATCAGAGGCTGCAGGGGCCCTGCTGTGGGTTTCCTCAGGAAGCACCACCCCCTCATCCCCCACCCTCACGACTGGCCCATGTGATGGATCGTCTGTTTCCCTGTGCGGGCCCCATAGCCCCATTTCCTGTGTTGGCCCCAGCCTGGGCGGGGAGGGGGCTGAGACTCTGGGCCCAGATCCCACCTCCCCCCCACCCTCCACCCCTTGGCTCCTGCTTCCTGCTAGTCCAGCTCTTCCCCTAGGAAAGGCTGCTGGTAACTGGGATGGGGGTTGGGGGTAGGTAAGAAGTCTCTCACTCCTCCTCTACCTCATTCCAGTTCCATCACCTGAAGTGGACCTGTTGGGACCGTCTGAAGGTACCAGCTGGGCAGCCTGAGAGGACCCTGGAGTTGCTGCTGGCTCATCTTCAGGTGTGCCCTGTCCCTACCCCAACCCCCAGGCTCAGCCCAGCCCAGCCCAGCTGGTGTCTGACCTTTCTCCCTCTAGGAGCAGCACGGGTTGAGGGTGAGGATGCTGCTGCACGGCCCAGCCCTGCTCTATTCCGCCGGATGGTCGCCTGAAAAGCAGGCCCAGCACCTGCCCCTCAGGTGAGCCCACCCAGGGCTTTAGACAGGCCCCACCAGTCCCTGGAGGCTGGGGCTAGGGGCCACACAGCCTTCTGTCTTCCCAGCCCCATTCTGGGCTCCTCACATCTTCCCAAGCATTCTTTTGCCAAATGGAGCCAGCAAAAAAGGCTGGAGGTGGGGTGAGGGCCGAGAGCCTGAGGAGGAGTCTTCAGGAGCTGCCTACTTGGCCAGCCCCATGGTCTCCCCACACGCTGCACAGCCCCCGTTTCACAGCCCACTCCCAAGGGACGCATAGCTTCCTGCCTCCTGCTTGCCTCACCAGCTGCTCCTAAAATAGTTTCAGATGTTTCCTGTCTTGAGTAGCTCTTGCTCCTGGCTTGGGCTCCTGATGGCCTGCCAGCACCCTCTCTAGTCCATGCCAGGCTGCCCACTGCCTGCCACTGCTCACCTCTCCAATCTCCCCTAAACCCCACCCCCACTAGGGTGACAGAACTGGTTCAGCAGGTGACAGGCCAGGTACTTGCTCCTGGGCTGCGGGTGTTGGTGCTGGAGCTGAGCTGTGAGGGTGAAGAGGAAGACACTGCCTTTCCACCTCTGCACTATGAGCTGTGACAAGGCAGCCACCCCATCACCTAGCTCAATGGAGCCCTGGATCCCAAGCACTGCATTGTAAGCCCACAGTAGGCACTCAATAAATGCTTGTTGAAGGAAGGCATAGTGGAGAGGATGGATGATAGAACACAGTGCACTAATGCACACAGGTGTGACATGGGCATGACAGGGACCTTCACACAGAGACAAAAATCTCTTCAGATTTGTCTGCCTGGGCAGTGCCTCACAGGGCTGGGGCTGCCTCTTAGTGCCTCAGGGGTATGAAGCCAGGACAGTCTAGAAAAAAGGCTTTTATTGTCCCAGGCTGGAGGGCAGGGTCAGAGGTAGCTGACATCATTGCAGATGATGGGCTGGCGACTACGGCAGCTCATGAGGGCTGCGAAGCGTGAGACATCCGCAGGCATTTCAGGTTCTGGACGAGGTGGGCATGACAGCCGCTTTCCTGCCATAGCTGTCCGCCGAGCCCTGGCCAGCCGGCGCCGAAGCTGCTCGGAGAGGCCAAGCAGGAACTGAGGGGGACGAGCATGGGCACGGTGCCCACCTCCGTCACCTCCTTCACTCCCTGTCTCAGGCAGCTCCATCCAGTTGTGCACCAAGTCAGCAAAGCAATTGTCCCCCAGTACCAGGGGCTGGCGACTGCGACCCCTATTCAGTAGGGCTGCTGTCCAGTCCTCTGCTTCCAGTCCCTGCCAGTGCTCCAGGCAGGCGTCTGGGGTGGACTTGGGCCGTGGACGGTGGACAGGTGGTACACTGGCTACAGGGGCCCTGCTGGGCATGGGGAGGCCACTGACTGAGAGGCGCTGCCTACGAAGGGGCTGTGCTGAGGGTGCTGGGCGCTGGGGAACAGGTAGTTCTTCCTCTCGCCATGTGCTGCCTGACACCTCCGAGAAGCCAGAGTCCCAGTCCAGGGCATGCTCCCTGGGGCCTCCCAAGGCTGCACCCCTGTCTTCTGTCACCACTGCCTCTTCTTCCTCCTCCTCCACACAGCAGACTGAGTCCTCTTCCAAGGCACCTGAGGCCCTAAGCTGGTGGCTGGGCTGTACATCTGGGCCAGTTTGGGGGTTTGGCTGCAGGGGACCAGGCATCGGGGGTGAGCCTGTGTCCCGACCACACAACTGAGGGGAAGAGAGGGCAGAAGTCAGAGAGGTATCACTTGTCACCAGGTCAGCCCAGAGTACAGAGGGTCCAGGAGGGTTAGATAGGCCTGCGGGCCTGGGCAGCAGGGTGCTAGTGAGCACAGGGCAGGCATGGGGTGCTGGCACTCGAAGCTGGTGTGGTTCTCATTCACCGACCTGGTGGCAGTCCTGCAGGCTGCAGCACGCAGGGCTGGGCAAGTCGACACCCGCCACCAGGGCGGGCGGGCAGGCAGTGTTGTGGGCCTGAGCAGGGAAGTAGGTCCTGCCCAGGACTGGAGGGGGATTCAGCTCCCAAAGCCCAAAGCTTTTTTCACAGAAAGAGCGCTTGCTAGGTGAGGGGTAGAGAAGGGAGGCATAGGCCAGCCTGAAGTAGGGGGCGTTCACAGCAGTGCTAGCACCTCGTTAGTCCCTTGCCGCCCCATGCCCCACCCCCAAAGAAGTCCCCCTTCCACTCTCTCCTCCCGCGCCGTTCCAGCAGCACGGCCAGCTGGATGCTGTTATCTGATGCTCAGCGCAGTTCCCAACCCTCCGAAACCCGACGCGGACCACGTGAGCCATATGAGCCGCGCCGCCCCCACCCCGCGCCGCGCCCATTCCGCCTCGGACGGACACGCTGCAGCCACCCCGCACCCGTCTGCTGTTCCGGCCGGGCAGCAGCCTGGCACCCCGCACGCGTCCTCCCTAACCGCACCCGCTCCCGAGCCTCACCAGTTCCCAGCGGAGCTGGCTGAGGAAGCTGTCAAGCCGAGCGCTGTGCATGTCCGTGCCGGGGCCCCCACTGAGCCTACTGGCTCCTCTGGGAACCCCGGCGGAGCCGCGCGGAGAGGGCTGGGCGGGCCGGCCAGCGGCGCCCTCAGCCTCCGCCTGGCTGCGCGGCTCCTCGCTCTCCGTAGCTCCCGCCGCCGCCGCCCCAACATCTGGCAGCCGCGCCCCGCCCAGGCCCCACGGCCAAAGGGGGAGGGGCTAAAACCCGGCGTCCCTGCCGACTCCGCTGCAGTTCTTGTGGGGAAGGGCGGGGTCGTAGCTGGAAGCCGGACGGGGTCGGGCCCGGGATACCCAAGCCCCCAGATGGTTGAGTGGACCCTGCATTTGCTGCGTGACTCAGGACAGATCGCCTCCGTGCGGGGGCCTCATCCTCCCCATTTGTTCAATGGTGAAATAGCGGTCCCTTTCACGGGGCGTCGTGCTGTGCCCGCACATAGGCAGAGCGCCCCGTATGGTCGGACCCAGAGAGGTTGTGGCCCACTCGGGACCTGACCCACGGGACCCATTCCTGAGGCTGGCCTCAGCACTCCCTGAACGGGATGGAAGTGGCGTTCGGCCTGAGGACTCAGAGAGGGTGGGACTTTGTGGCAGCGCACTGGCGGGGCCTCAGCCGCGTTCCAACCGAGCTAGACGGGACTGCCCTCTAGTGGGGAGTGCTCGGCTAGTCGCGAGTCCAGCGGCGACACGCGACCATCGGCATTCCCTCTGCCGGTACCAGGTGCATACTGAGGGTGGGTGCGGGGGTGAGCCTGTCTCCTGAGGTTGCTCTATCAAAGCAGGCTAGGCTCAAGAGTAGTGTAGCTGCAGACAGACTGGACATACCAGCAACAGGAAAATACCAGGGAATGAGGGCCATGGGCTAGCCTGGGGAAGGGCAATCTCAGAGGAGATGACATCAGGATGCAATCAAGAAGAGGGGCATTCTAGGCAGAAGGAGCAGCCAGGAAAAAGACCCCGAGGGACAGGAGCTGGACAGGGCCAAACATAAAGAAGGCCCAGGTGTCTGTGATTGGTGGTGGTGGCAGAAGGGAAAAGGTCAGCAAAACCAGGCTCTAACGGCCTTAGAGCAGAATGTGGGTTTTGTTCTTGGTGTGATGAGGAGCAATGGGGGCCTCTGAGCAGGAATGACCTGGGCTAGCTCTTGTTTAGATAATCCCAGCTGCTTTCAGAAAAGGATTCTGCAATAAGAGTAGAAGCCCCTGCCCTCATCCAGGCAACGAAGGGAGGGCCTAGGCCTGGGCAGGGCAGGTGCACTGAAGGGGGGTCACTTTGGGGTATGCTTTGGAGCTAAAATCAAGTCTTGCTGATGCATGAATGTGGGCAGGAAAAGAGGCATCAAGCATGACTCCTACATTTCTGGCATTAACAGCTGGTTGGATGAAATTGCCATAAACTGATCTAGGAAAGACTGGAGAAGAGTGGATTTGGAGAGGAAAATCCAATGATCATTTATGGACACGTAATCCTTGAGATGCCTGATAGACATCCAAGAGGAGTTGCAGAGTCAGCTGCTAGGGGTATGACTCTGGACTTCAGGACAGAGATCAGCACTGGAGCCTTGGATCTGGGAGGAATAGTGAGTGAAAGGATGGTATGTAAGGCCATAGGCCTGGATGAGGTGGAGTGGGAGGAAATGAGTGTAGAGGGAGACAGCAATCAGGACTGTGCCCTGGGACATTCCACGAGGTGGAGGTAGGGGAGATATGAAGCAGAACTATCAAAGAAGCTGAGCAGAAACAACCAGGAGAAATCTGAGAATGTGGGGACTCAGGAGCCAAGGCATAGGTCATTGGGAACCCTGACAAGGGCAGTTTTGTGTAGAGAGGGACAAACCTGATTAGAGTGTGTGGAGAAGAGAGTGAGGGCTGAAGAACTGGAGACGGCAAATAAAGACAACCTTTTTTTTTTTTTTTTTTTTTTGAGACAGGGTTTCACCATGTTGTACAGGCTGGTCTCGAACTCCTGATCTCAGACGATCCTCCTGCCTTGGCCTCCCCTACAGGCATAAGCTACTGTGCCTGGCCAGAAAACTTTAAAAAATGACATACAAATACAATAAATGGACAGATCTCAGAGTTATAGCTCAATAAATGTTAAAATCTGTAGATACTTGTGCAGCTGCCACCCAGATAAAGATATAGAACATCCTCAGCAACTCCTGGATGCCATCTGGTGCCCTATCCAATTGATATTCCCAACGGTAACCAGTATTTGTATTTCTATTATAAAGGATTCCTTTTGCTTATTGGAGGTAGACAGCCTTTTTTTTTTTTTTTTTGAGACAGGGTCTTGCTCTGTCACTCAGGTTGGAGTACAGTGGCATAATCATGGCTCACTGCAGCCTCGATCTCTTGGGTTCAAGCGGTCCTCTTACCTCAGCCTCCTAAGTAGCTGGGACTACAGGCCTGGATCACCACACCCAACTAATATTTTGTAAAGATGGGGTCTCACTTTGTTGCCCAGGCTGATATCGAACTCCCGAGCTCAAGTGATCCTCCCACCTCAGCCTCCCAAAGTGCTGGGATTACAGATGTGAGCCACCACACCCAGCAAGTTTTGAGAGATTTTGTTGATGGTTGGGCTCATTTTTTATAGGCAGATAATGTTCTAATAGAGGGGGTGCAGAGTTGAGACTCTGTGGGGTAGCAGGTCCTGGGCCCAGTTTTCCTGGGTGCTGTGATTGCTCTATCTCCAAGGATTGCATTACCAGTTTCCTCATCTGAACCTTAATCCTCCTCTCCTTCCGTGCCCTTAGAGTTGTAATGAATGGGGGCGATGGAAAATGGGATATTCTGAGCCTCTGGAAGCCTGACTGAGGTCTAGAACTCAGTCACCAGGGATGGGCGGGGATAGAATCTGGGAGGCCCAGGAGTCCCACCTGCCCAGCTATGTTTGAGCAACTGACCTGGCAACAGAGTGAGTCAGACAAACAGCCTAGCTTTCTGAAGCTTCCTCTGCTGTCTGTGTCTTCAGGTCATCCTGGTGCTGCTCAGGCTCCTCGTGTTCCTCTTTGCTCTGGTGGTCTCTGGTGAGGAGGTGGTGGGTGGGGGAACCCTAGTTTTCTCTTGGAGTCCTGACCCTTCCCAGATAAGCTACCATAGAGGACAGGGATTGGGGGAGAGGTAGGAAAGTATAAGAATCTGAACCCCTGGCCCTCACCCCTTATCTTGGCTGCTTCCTCAACCAAGTTCTCACTCCCCATCTGCGAAATGTTGGATGCTGGATATAAGGAAAGGCCTTAGCTGTGTGGCCCCGTGGCATGGTCAGGCCCTGTAGCAAAAGGACAGGACTATGCTAGTATATGTGGTTCCATCAGCCTGGGGGCCTCCAACCTGAATTCTCTGCTCTTCACAGATCTCTGCAGGTTTATAAATGTCTCTGAGAAACAGGGCCCTGGCACAATCCTTCAGTTTTTCTCCTTCAACTGCTCCTCCTACACGCCCACACCCACCCTGGAGTTGCTCAATGTCCAGCCACCCACCACCTTCTTCAACCCACCCAGCTTGGCCAGGTGGCAAGGGACCTATGTGGGCAAGGTAAGGTCATGTGTACAACTGGAGACTGTGGGGGCACAAAGGCAGACCTAAAATTTCCAAGCCCCACATGGCACTGCCCACCTACCCCAGTTGACCTTGAGCAGCTCTGCTCGGTTGGATGCCCTTATGGTGAACCACTACAAGCTGCAGCTGAAGTTCACATGTGGCAACCATGTGACGGAGGGATCACTCTCTGTGAATGTGCATCGGGACCTTAGCCATATCCAGTGTGCTGGTCAATTTGCCAGCCCAGGTGAGGCTGTCAGCAGGGGTGGGCAGGCATGGCCTGAACAGATCTTCCCTGACCTCCACTCTGGCCAACTGCGGAAATGATTCAGGTGCCAGAGACAGTCACACCTGGGGCTCGGCTGTACGCTCTGCTCCTCCCAGACTTAGAACTCCACAGAGCCCAGGTGAGCCCAGGACATGGGATGGTGGGTGACAGGATGGGGGCAGGGGGGATGGAGAGAATAAATTAACCCCTGCCTGGCCAGGCACAGCCTGCAGAGGAACCTTGCAGCAGAGGCACAGATGAGCCTCTACATGATGCATGTTCTTGGAGAGAGCTGCTGAGGGCTGCTCACTCCCCAGTGACCATGGCTGTTCCCACAGGGACATCTCAGAGGCTGAGTTCTTTCAAGATCTGCTGTGTGTTCTCAGTTCTCTATGACAATTCTGTATCATTTCTGTAATAAAAAATATATATATAGGTAATGGCCAGGCACGGTGGCTCACACCTATAATCCCAGCACTTTGGGAGGCTGAGGCAGGTGGGCTCAGGAGTTCGAGACCAGCCTGGCCATCACGGTGAGACGCTGTCTCTACTAAAAATACAAAGATTAGCCGGGTGTGGTGGCGTGTGCCTGTAATCCCAGCTACTTGGGAAGCTAGGGCAGGAGAATTGCTTGAACCTGGGAGGTGGAGGTTGCAGTGAGCCAAGATTGTGCCACTGCTCCAGCCTGGCTGACAGAATAAGACTCTGTCTCAAAAAAAAAAAAAAAAAAAAAAAAAATATTTAAAAACAGTAACTCACTTAAAAGCAAAAAGGATTGAGGATTGTGGCCAGGGCTTGGGCTGGAAGGAAGAGATTGTGACCAGGACCTGGGCTGGAGCCCAGGCTGGGATAAGGGTCAGTGGTGAAGCATGAGAAAATTGGGTGTGAGGCTGGGCGCAGTGGCTCACACCTGTAATCCCAGCATTTTGGGAGGCCGAGGCGGGTGGATCACTGGAGGTCAGGAGTTCGTGATCAGCCTGGCCAAAATGGTGAAACCCTATCTCTACTAAAAATACCAAAATTAGCCAGGCGTGGTGGTGGGCACCTGTAATCTCAGCTATTCAGGAGGCTGAGACTGAAGAATCACTTGAACCCAGGAGGTGGAGGCAGGTAGGCAGGCAGGAAGGAAGGAAAGAAAGAAATTAGCTGGGTGTGCTGGTACAGGCCTGTAATCCCAGCTATTCAGGAGGTTGAGGCAGGAGAATCGCTTGAACCCAGGAAGTGGAGGTTGCAGTGAGCTGAGATCGCACCACTGCACTCCAGCTTGGGTGACAGAGTGAGACTCTGTCTCAAAAAAAAGAAGGAAGGAAAGAAAGAAAGAAGGAAAGAAGGAAGGAAGCAGAGAGAGAAGGAAAGAGAGAAGGAAAGAAAGAAAAGAAGGAAGGAAGGAGGGAGGGAGGGAGGGAGGGAGGGAGGGAGGGAGGGAAGGAAGGAAGGAAGGAAGGAAAAGAAAAGAAAGTAAGTTGGGTGTAGGCAGGTGCCTGCTGGGTTGCTGGAGGGTTGCTGCTGGGTTGTTGATGGGGGTGCTCAGGGCACTTGGGGTTGAATGGGGTTGCCAGCATCTCTGTTCTGTCAGTTGAGCATTATCAGTGCCCAGGACCTGCCACACTTCCCTGTACCTTTCTCCATCAATGAGCAAGGTTGGCTGCAGGCACCATCCCAGGGCCTCCTAGGCCAGGCTCGAAAGGTGAGCATGACCTGGAATCTGGGAGTGTCCATGGATTGGGTAGAGCTCCTATCTTTTAGAAATTTGTTTATTCTTGGCCTCCTTGGCCTCCTCAACTAACACTGACTTTCTCAGACCTGGACCTGCTGCTCGGTTGTCCTCCCACCTTAGCTTGGTTCTGTGCTGGGCTCTGGAGTTCTAGAAAGAAGAGAAATCCCTCTCTCTGGGAATTCACAAGTCCTCTAATAGAAAGAAATGTGTTTAGGGCAATCACACAGTAAAAGAAAGTCTTGGGTAATGGCCGGGCATGGTAGCTCACCCATGTAATCCTAGCACTTTGGGAGGCTGAGGTGGGTGTTGTCACCTGAGTTCAGGGGTTCAAGACCAGCCTGGCCAACATGGAGAAACCCCGTCTCTACTAAAAATACAAAAATTAGCCAAGTGTGGTGGCACATGCCTGTAATTCCAGCTACTCAGGAGGCTGAGGCAGGAGAATTGCTTGAACCCAGGGGATGGAGGTTGCAGTGAGCCGAGATCATACTACTGTGCTCTAACCTGGGCAAAAAAAAAAAACAAAAAAGTTCTGAGTAAAGTGGTCAGTGCAGTCTGGAGGTGGCTTTCAGCAACTCTAAGATGATAATTCACATTGTCAATGATTCAGATATCACTCTTGGGCTGTTTGCATCCTAATGGAATAATTTATGGCCCAAAGATATGGGGCTCAAAGGAATACTTGTCAGCAGGGTGACAGGTCATGGGGATCATGGGGAAGAGTGGAAGTTGAGGCTTCTTTTGCAGATCCTAAGTGAGATTGCCTATTTAAGGGGAGGACTGGGCATAGACAAAGAGGTGGACACACACACACTCTGGCTCCTTTTCTGTTCTGGGTGCACCACAGGTCTTCCAGCTGCAGATCTTCTCCATCGGTCATGATGAGAGGTGTTGAGGGAGGGGCGGGTACTGGGATGCCTCTGTGGCTGGTCCAGAGGTGACCCATAGTACCTTTTCACCTTCCTATTTGGGGGCCTGGTCTTGGAGAAGGCAGCAGGAGGGCCAGGCTCAGCGGCCTCCTTTGCCTATGGATCTGGTGGGCTGGTGGGAGTGGGACTGAGCTGGGAGCGGGGCTGATCTCTGTGTTCCCTGACCCTCTCACCCCATGCAGCAGACAGTGTGGTCCAGACCACGATGCCCTGGAGTTAGCTCACACCCCAGGCACTTCGGTTTCCAGGCTGCAGGTGAAGTCCTTTGAGCAGCACCAGCTGTGGGCCAGTGCCAAGCTCAAGCTCACCATGAATGTGCGGCTGGTCAACCTCTGACCTCCACGCTGCCTCCCAGTGCTTCTGGTGTGAGTACACAGGAATCTTACCTGGGCTGCTGGGGCCACAGCCATGACTCAGGGTGCTGCCAGACTCCCGCCTTGCTGCCACGGCATACTCTCAGGTCCCACGGCATACTCTCAGGTCCCAAATCCCCGAGGCTGCACCTGTGGGTGCCGTGCTGAATATTCTCACTTGTGAAGATCTGGACTCTGTTGACGCCACCCTGGACTACAAGCTGTGGTTCCGCAGCTCTTCCAACCCTGCCAGCCTCTGCCTTTATGACAGAGTCCTTGAGGTGCCCAGTCCCAGCTCCCAGACCCACTTGCAGGGTGCTTGCAGTGGGAAGGCGTGGGTGGGCCAAGGGTCTCTGAGAGCTGAGACCATGGGAGTGGGGGTGGGAGGGATGGCTGTTGAGCCAACCTGTGTTGCAGTCTGGAAAACAGGATCCAGGCAGGATATTTGTGGATGCCCTGGCCTGCAGCAGCCCCGTGTGGCTCAGGGCTCTCTCAGGCCCTGACTGGACCTCACTTTCTAGCCCCTTTGGCTAGGTGAATGCCACACTGGACTGTGACACTCCTGGAACCTGCTTCCAGCATGCAGTCTCCATCCTGGTGCTCGATTGTGGCCAGCCCCAGATGACCAGTGAGTAACCACACCCGGCCTGGACACCTAGGACAAGGCTGTTCTGTCCTCCTGCTTCCCATGCTCAGGACAGGGTCATCTCTCCTCCTTTAGAATCCAGTAGGGCAGGGTTGTCTCCATTTCAGACCCTGAGGATATATCTCTTAGACCCCCAGCAGGGGAAGGCTTCTGCCCTACCTTTAGACCCTCTCACTCTTTAGACCCCCCAGGGCAGGGCTCCTCAGACCCCCAGTTCAGGGATAGGCACCCCAGGCCAGCTCCTTGACTGCCAAATGACCTCCAATTGAGGCGCCGGTACTGGTGATGGTGACACCCATCAATGAGTTCTCCCCAGCCTGTGCCCCTCGCACATTCCAGGTTCAGGAGGATGCAGTGCCCCACACTCTGCTGGGCTCTGTGGTGGGCATGGATATGGATTATCCTCATGACAACATTAAGTACTACACCTCTGGTGGTCCTACCACCTTTGCTGTGGACAATCTCAGTGGTACATCCACCCCAGGGCTTGGATGGAAACGGCGAGCCAGAGTTGGCTCTGCAGGCTGAGGCTGTTGTCCCCCCTTCTAGGGGAAGTTTACCTCCTGGAACCTTTGGACTATGAGCAGCAGAGGCTGTACAGGCTCACTGTCCTGCTGATTGACCATGGCCAAGAACAGAACCCCAACTATCACCGCTCAGGCTCCTGTACCATTACCATCAAGGTTGAGGTAACTGTGTCCTAAGGCTTTGGAAATAAATACTTGGAAAGATAGGAGTTCAGATCGCCCTGTGGTGTTCTGTTTTTCCACTCTGTGCCTCGGTTTCTTCCACGAGTTGGCTGGAGAGGAGTGGGGCCTAATTGTGGAAAGCTCTGGAGCCTGTTGTGTGATGCTTTGATCCCTTTAGGCTCCGGCTGTGGTGAGAAGAAGTTGAGGGGCTGACTCGGAGGTTTAGGGGGTGGGTTCTACCCACTCCTAACCTGGTTCCTTTCTGCAGGATGTGAATGACCATGCCCCCGAATGTGAGCCCCCATTTCAGGAACTCACCATCTATGCTCCTCTGGGCTGTAGTGTGGAGGTGACCAAGGTGTCATGCCGGATCCCTCAGGAGCCACAGCACCTGACCTATTCCTATAGCATTGTGGAAGGAAGGGGACATGGGCACCACCAGGTTGTGAGTGAGGGGCAGGCCAAGGCCAGCAATGGTTTCTTCCTCCTGTCACTCTGATTTCAGGGAATAGCCAGAACTGATTCATCCTGCAAGAGGCCATCCTGGTACACAGTGACCTTGTGTTGGGGCCCTTCTGGCCACAGCAGCCCTGTACCTATGATCTACTGATCTGTGTGGCCGATGCAGGCCGCTCCACCCCTGACCTCAGCACCACAGCCACCATTATTGTGCACCTAGTTCACCGGAGGGCCAGCACAGTGGCCACCAGCACCCACAGAACCACAGTGAGGAGGCTCCTTGGGCCCTCAGTGGGGTGGGAAGGGTGGACCTTGGAAAGTGAGGAGACCCAGTTTTTCGGGTGGAACTATGGGAAAGGCAGTTCAGAGGGAAGTGCTGAGTGCAGAGAGCCCAGAGGTGTTGAAGAGCAAATCACGGGTGTGGGGTGGCCTAGCCCAGGGAGGGGTTGGAAGGCTGGATGGTCAGGGCATTTTGGCAAGGCAGTGGTGAGGCTGTGGCCTCCTTTTCAGGTGCCCTCAATGATGACACCCATGCTCGTGACAGACACAGAGGCTTTCTGGCAACCACAGCCCTGGTTTGTGGTGGTGTTGACAGCAACTGGTGCTCTTCTCCTCTTGGCCCGAGACTGGCTTCTTGGCAGGCTCCTCCAGGGGTAGGGATCCTATCCTTGTGCTCCCTACCTGCCCCCAACCCACCTATGGACCCCAGTTGTGATGGGTGGTTTCACCCAAGATTAGATGACAATGCCCAAGTGGGTGGGTGACAAACTGATATTGAGGAGGGCTGCTCTCCCTCCAGAGGTCTTTAAATTAGGGTCAGAGAGACACTGGGAGGAAGCAACTTCCATCACCAGCAGAATCCAGTCTTGAAATGGGGGGAGGGTTGATAAACTCAGGGCTTGAAACTGTGAGTCTGTCATGCATTGGGCATTTACCCCTATTCCTGACTTCTGCCCTCCACTGGAAAGCTTTCCTGCTCCTGTAGACTCTGAAGTTCCTTGTGGACATAGGACTGAGCCCGGGGAATGGGGATGTAATGATGTGGGCACTGCATACAGACACTGGTTATTCCCAATAAAAGGGGACAAGTGAATGGTACTGGTTCCTGGAGCCAGTAGGCCTACTGCCTTCACTGCTTGGTTACTCCTCCTGGCATTTTAGGTTGGCCCGGCTGCTGCAGGCACCCAGCAAACCAGCCCAGGCTTTGCTGCTAAACAGGTCAGTCTCCTTTGCATACTTCTATGCCTGGGAGCCCATCTCTTAAACTCAGGTTGGGGCCCAGAGCTTTGCCCTGTACTCTTGCTCCTACTTTGCCCCAGCATCCAGGGAACTGAGGGATACATCGAGGGATTCATGGAGGCACCGAAGATGGAAATGTCCCAGGCACCCAGCAGCATCATGAGTCTGGTATGTCAGCTCACCATCTCAAGTAGTGGGCACCAAGGCTGCTCCAGAGTACTCCCCTGCCCCCACCAAGCTTGCCCCTTTTCCCATGAATGGCTATCCCTGTGGAAGTGCCCACACTAGCACCATAAGGATGGAGGAGGCAGGTGGGCTTCTGGCCCCCTAGGGGCAGGTCTTCATCTGCTCTCCTGTGGGCAGGGTTCAATTCATTGCACCTTTCTTTTTTTCCCCTCAGCAGCATTTTGATGGCAGAGCACAGGACTCCCGTGAGTCCCCCTCTTCCTAAACTATTCTCTGCCTGGGCCCTCACCCAATCTGAGTATCTTCTCCTCTCTTTTTTTTTTTTTTTTTTTTTTAATCCAAAATTACCTGTTTTATTTTCGTGTTTATAAAACGAAGAGCTTTTTTTATTTTTTATTTTTATTTTTTTGAGACGGAGTCTCGCTCTGTCGCCCAGGCTGGAGTGCAGTGGCGCAATCTCGGCTCACTGCAAGCTCCGCCTCCCGGGTTCACGCCATTCTCCTACCTCAGCCTCCCGAGTAGCTGGGACTACAGGCGCCCGCCACTGCGCCCGGCTAATTTTTTTCTATTTTTTAGTAGAGACGGGTTTCACCATGGTCTCGATCTCCTGACCTTGTGATCCACCCGCCTCGGCCTCCCAAAGTGCTGGGATTACAGGCATGAGCCACCGCGCCCGGCCACGAAGAGCTTTTTTTCTGGATGGTTTTCTTATCAGCTTTTCATACAACAGTCAAGTAAACCTCGTGGCACTAGCCAGAAATCGTTGCAACTTTGGAACTTCCAAGACAATCTGGCCTCTTATCAATGGGCAGACAGTGACCCTCATTCAAAATGAAGCTGCTAGTCAGTGACATCCGACATTCATTATTTTCACTGGCTGATCGTCCACACCCAGAATGCCATGAAGAGTGTCAGGTTTAACCAAGCGGTTTTCCATTAAATATTCTCCCGCATATTCTGGAATTCTTTCATGTATCTTTGCATCTTCAGAGCTGCTCTGCTGTGCCACGACAGCACCATTGTTCCTATCACACCACCAAACGACCACGACGGCCTACGTAAAAGACCTCTTCTCCTCTCTTTACCTCATCTCAATATCTCCTCCTACTCCCAGGAACCCACCATCTATCTGCTTTTTTCCTGAATGGGGTCTGCTCTCACCCCCACTCACCCTTCATCCGTCCTTTGTCAAATATCTAGGGGGTCAGGAGATGACTCATATCTGGTCTGGTCTCTGCCTACAACAGGAGGAGGGATGATGGTGAGGGGAGAGGCCCCCAGATAGTCCAGTATCACCAGTGAATTATGGGAGAGTAATCTGGCATTGGCCTTAGGGAAGCTGGTGTCCAGTGTTGGAGAATCAAGGAGGCTTCCTGTGCATTTGAGACAGAGTTCAGAGAATTTGCTGAGAAGGGAGGGAGGGGACAGGTTAGATTCCAGCAAAGGTGGGGTGTCACACTGAGGGTCCTGAAGGAATGATCTCCTACCCTTAGATAAGAGGAAAGGGAGGCAGTTATCCTGGGGCCAGCAGCATCCCCCGCTCTCCTCTCTCTCCTACAGGTTTTAAGTACAGGAAGAGACTACCTGTTTAACACACGCACAGGAGCCTGGCGCTGGCTCTGAGGCCAGGTAGCTGCTTTACCATGTGTGGAATTTCTTTTTCACACCATCATGGGCTGTGTTTTCAAGCTGATTCATAATAAACAAAATTACAAATAGAAAAGTTCTAGCCTTGTAGCCAACACGTGGGAGAAGCTCTGAAATCTGTGCCTCCTTGTTCTCACTTGGAGAACTCCGTATCTTATGAGCAGACTCTGGGGAGCAGTAAGGTTTTCCTTTTCTTTCAGGGTTTTTTTTGTTTGTTTGTTTGTGTTAAAGACAGGATCTCACTATGGTGCCCAGGTTGGAGTGCAGAGGCTATTCACAGGTGTTATAGCACACTATAGCTTCTAACTCCTGGCTTCAAGACAGCCTCTCATCTCAGCCTCCTAAGTAGCTGGGCCTATGGGCGCAGCACTGCACCTGGATTTATTTTTCTTTTAAGAAGGTATTGTATGATGCTTGGACTGACAGTGTGACTGATGCTGTATAGAGATAATAGGCTATCATCCTTATCAGTGACTGAGGGGCCGCCAATCAGCATATCTACTCAGGGCCACCTACTTCCTTTTCCTATCCAAAAGACAGAGAACAATGATGTGTGTGTGTGTGCGTGCGTGTGTGTGTGTGTGTGTGTGTGTGAGAGAGAGAGAGAGAGAGAGAGAGGAGATAGGGTCTGGCTTTGTTGCCCAGGCTGGAGGGCAACTGTGTGATCTTGGCTCACTGTAGCCTTGACCTCCCAGGTTCAATCGATCCTCCTACTCACATTCCCAGTAGGTGGGACTACAGGCATGGACCACCATGGCTGGCTAATTTTTAATTTTTTTGTAGAGATGGGGTCTCTCTATGTTGACCAGGCTGTTCTTGAATTCCTGGGTCCAAGTGATCCTCCTGCTTCAGCCTCTCAAAATGCTGGGATTACAGGTGTCTGAGATTACTGTTGCTTTTTTTGTTGTTGAGATATTCCTCTTTTTAATTTTTTTCTTAATTTTTAATTTTTGTGGGTACATAGGTGTATAAATTTGGAGGTACATGAGATGTTTTGATAAGGCATGTAATGCTTAATAATCACTTCATCGAAAATGGGGTATCCATCCCTGGAAGTATTTATCCTTTGTGTTACAAATAATCCAATTATACTATTTTAGTTATTTTAAAATGTACAATTAAGTTATTATTGTCTATAGTCACTCTGTTGTGCTATCAAAACACTAGGTCTCATTCATTTTTCTTTTTTTTCTGGTGCGCATTAACCATCCCACCTCCCCACCCCTTCCAGACTCTGGTAACCATCCTTTTACTCACTATCTCCATTAATTAAATTGTTTTGTTGGCTGGGCGCGGTGGCTCAAGCCTGTAATCCCAGCACTTTGGGAGGCCGAGATGGGAGGATCACGAGGTCAGGAGATCGAGACCATCCTGGCTAACACGATGAAACCCCGTCTCTACTAAAAAATACAAAAAACTAGCCAGGCGAGGTGGCAGGCGCCTATAGTCCCAGCTACTCGGGAGGCTGAGGCAGGAGAATGGCGTAAACCCGGGAGGTGGAGCTTGCAGTGAGCTGAGATTCGGCCACTGCACTCCAGCCTGGGCGACAGAGCGAGACTCCATCTCAAAAATCAGACTTCCAGCCTGGGCGACAGGATGCACTCCATCTCACCAAAAAAAAAAAAAAAAAAAAAAAAAAAAAAAAATTGTTTTGTTTAAATCTTTTTCCTTTTTTTTGAGACGGAGTCTTACTTTGTCACCCAGGCTGGAGTACAGTGGTAGGGTCTTGGCTCACTTCAACCTCCGCCTCTCATGTTCAAGCAATTCTCATGCCTCAGTCTCCTGAGTAGCTGGGACCCCAGGTGCATGCTACCACACCCAGCTTTTTATTTTTTACTTTTAGTAGAGACGGGGTTTTACCATGTTGGCCAGGTTGGTCTTGAACTTCTGACCTCAGGTGATCCTCCTGCCTCGGCCTCCCAGAGTTCTGGGATTACAGGCGTGAGCCACCACACCAGTCAATTTCATCCTTTTTCATGGTTGAATAATACTCCATTCTGCATATGTACATTTTATTATTTTTTTGAGATGGAGTCTCACTCTGTTGCCCAGGCTAGAGTGCAGTGGCGTGATTTCGTCTCACTGCAAGCTCTGCCTCCTGGGTTCATGCCATTCTCCTGCCTCAGCCTCCTGAGTAGCTGGGACTACAGGTGCTCACCACCAAGCCCAGCTAATTTTTGGTATTTTTAGTAGAGATGGGGTTTCACCATGTTAGCCAGGATGGTCTCGATCTCCTGACCTCATGATCTGCCTGCCTCAGCCTCCCAAAGTGCTGGGATTACAGGTGTGAGCTACCACGCTTGGCCCATATGTACCATATTTTCTTTATTCGTTCATCTGTTGATGGACACTTAGGTTGCTTCCAAATCTTGGCTATTGTGAATGGCGCTGCAGCAAACACGGAAGTGCAGATATCTTTTTTATATACTGATTTTCTTTCCTTTGGGTACATACCCAGCAATGGGATTGCTGGATCATGTGGTAACTGTATTTATAGTTTTCTGAGGAACCTCCAAACTGTTATCCATGGTAGTTATACCACTGTTGCTTTTTGCTTTTTGAGGACTCCATCAAACTTCAGGGCAATTTGCCAACTGTATGTGGAGGTTTTCTTGGGAAGGATTTGGAGCTTTTGCACTGGGGTGAGGGGTGATGCAGACTTGAGAATCCTGTGGCATGGCTGGTCCTGGAGGATTAGCAGAATCCCCCTTTTGAGGGTTGTTGACTTTTCTTCCTGATGTTTCTTCTGGTTCCTCTGCTCTCACCTCTCCCTGTGCTGACCTGAGCTATTGCATGTAGCCAGGTGGCCTGCAACAATCTGCTAGTGGGCAGGTCTTGCTGGGTGCAATGTCGGCCCACTCTCCATGCCCAGCCTGACATCAGGTCTCAGGCTTCTGCCAGCTCTCCAAGAGGACCTTACTGTGGTAAATCCAAGTTATCACAGTCTTTCCTCCTCTGTTGAGTCTGTGGGCCTGAACCTCCTCAGGGCACTGGAGAACCTCACTTTCTTTCCTTTTCTTTTGAGACAGAATTTTGCTCTGTTGCCCAGGCTAGAGTGTAGTGGCGTGATCTCAGCTCACTGAACCTTTGCCTCCCAGGTTCAAGTGATTCTCCTGCCTCAGACTCCTGAGTAGCTGGGATTACAGGTACCTGCCACCACGTCTGGCTAATTTTTTTTTTTTTTTTTTTTTTTTTTTTTGGAGACAGAGTCTCGCTGTGTCACCCAGGCTGGAGTGCAGTGGCGCGATCTCGGCTCACTGCAAGCTCCGCCTCCCGGGTTTTACGCCATTCTCCTGCCTCAGCCTCCGAGTAGCTGGGACTACAGGCGCCCGCCACCTCGCCCGGCTAGTTTTTTGTATTTTTAGTAGAGACGGAGTTTCACTGTGTTAGCCAGGATGGTCTCGATCTCCTGACCTCGTGATCCGCCCGTCTCGGCCTCCCAAAGTGCTGGGATTACAGGCTTGAGACACTGCGCCCGGCCTAATTTTTGTATTTTTAGTAGGGACGGGGTTTCGCCATTTTGGCCAGGCTGGTCTCGAACCCCGGACCTCAAGTGATCCGCCCGCTTTGGCCTCCCAAAGTGCTGGATTGCAGGCATGAGCCACCGCACCTGGCTAGGAGGGCCTCCCTTTCTGAACCAGTTATGGTATCCCAGGGCCAGGAAGAAGCTGAGTGCCTTCTGTGGGAACAAAACAAAACAAAAACCCTTCATGGGGCTTCCACCAAAGTTAGTGTTTTAAGGTGCGCCTCAGCAACAGCAACTTCTGGAAGCAGGTTGTTCCAGGAAGTGGTTGTAGGCAGATTTTTCCTGAGTTCTTCCCCTGCTCTAAGGGTTCATTAAATCTTCCTCTGAGAAGCTCCACTTTTATTTTCATTCTACAGATGGGGCAACCAAAGCTAAAGAAAGGCTAAGGCACAAAAGAGTTAGCTAGTTGGGGCATTTGGGTGTGGGCCCAGGCCAGGTAACTTCATCTGGTGTTCTAAGCCTGAAGCCAAGCCCAGAGTTAGGTGTTCTGTATGGGGAGCAAGGTGTGACCATCTTCCTGGGACCATTACTGTGCCTGGTAGGCCGGTCATGACAATCCAGGGCAAAAGATACTGTCATAGGATTTCAAGACAAGATGCTCTAGGACTGAGAAAAGGGAGTGCCCGCTGTGTGTCAGGACTTGTGCTAGGCTCTAAACCTCACGCAGGAAAGCGTGGGCAATGAGCCAGAGGCTGCTGTGGCAGCATAGACTGCTGTACCTCGAGGCTACTAAGGGACAAAGCGCGGGAAGCCGGGATAGAGGCTCTTCACACTGAAACCAGTAGGAGGAGGTGCGAGACCCAGCACCTCCATTTCTAGAGGTGGTGTGACCTTGGCTCGGCCTCCCCTCTCTGAGCCTCAGTTTCCTCTCCAGAGTGAACTGGGGATGCACCCCCCTTCTCCCAGAGTGGGTGACAAAAAAACGAATAGCACACCGCTGAGATTCCCTGTGTGTGCGCAAACGTATGAGAAGACGCCGCCGGTACCGCACCGGGGCCAGACACGCAGAGAGGCCAAGGGCGATCTGGCCTCGCAGTCGCCAGCAAAAGCTCCGCCAGCCACAGCGTGAACGAAGCGCATGCGCAAACCCATGCCGTCACAGTCACGTGCCCCACGCTTTCGGCACAGGCCCTGAGAGGCAGACTCTGACTGACAGGTGAGCTGACCTGTCAGCGGGAAGCACTTCCCCTGGCGACGAGCAAGAAGACTGTTGATTGGGGATGGCACCCCTCGGGGGCGGGTTCTTTGCAGTCCTGGTTACTATGACGCCCGGCCCCCGCCCCCTCGGCTAGCCGCCATCTTGTTGTTGATCCGTACCCAGTGGGCAGCGCCGGGAGCTGGACCAAGCGGCCGGTGAGAGGCCGCTGTAGCGGGGCTCAGCCGCCTGTGCTGCCTGCCAGGGGGCGGGCCGAAACCTGGAGGCCCGGGGGGCCCAGCTCCCGTAGGGAGCCGTGGGCGCCCGGTACCCGGGCCGGGCGGGTGAGTGACAGGAGCCGGGCCGATAGACCGGCCTGACGCCCGCGGGGAGGGCGGTGGCGGGCGCGG